TACCCCCAAATTCATCAAGGCTATTTACACGAAGATATGAAGACTTTCAAGTTATGCGATCTGGTCATTGGTGATCTTTATGATCCATCCTGCTTCAATTTTTATTTTCATCTCCAATTTATCTTTAGTTTTTATTATGGCAAATAAACATGCGTACACATTTTTCAAACATGCTAACTTCCTTAACACTATTTTCTAATAGTCTGGTGATACCTTACTTGCGGTTTGGTGAAATCATCTGTGGTGGTCCTCGTTTTCCATTGACACCTGATGCTTTGAAGAAAGTGTTGACTGGGCAAGCATCCCGTGAAGTACTACTTGCTGTATCTCATGCAGTCAGTTCCAACTATTCTCCCTACTTTTTAATTCATGTGGTTTTAATTTCTGTGGACAACCTTTTCCTTCTACTTTTCTTAATGAATCTACATCTTAAGAAGATGCATATCATGACTTCATGGTGTTTCAAGCGGCTAATAATTGTACTTTATATGGCCCGAAGAACATTCATTTTTCTTTGTATAACTTGAACTAAGATTTGAGCTGAAGCAGTTGCAAGACAGAAATTATATGAAGTGGACTCTTCTGCTAAAAAAATTATATGTAAATTATTACCTTCTTCCAAAATGCTAGGTCTTTCAAATTAGTTATGTACGGAATTAAATCCTCTCATTCCCATGTAACTAAAAATGTTTCTTGTTTATGATTTATCATTTTTTATTAGTGAGCCTTGAACTTTGGCCGGTTTTTTTGCCTCATTATATTTTAGCACCTATCCTCATTTTTCTTCTACTGTACTGTCCAAAGTATCCATCTACAATCCTTTTCTTCTATTACAGAAAGAAATACAAAAACACCTCTCATTTACTCTTATTTCTTTGTCTTTTACTCTTTTTGTTTCCATTATTTTTCTTTTTTTTTTGCACCATATTGCAGTAATTATGAAATTAGGGCAATTTTCTTTGTGATGATAAATAATTATCTTCAAAATTATTTTTCTCCAGGTAATAGGCTGGGTTGTTGCAGCGCCATTCATCCTTGGCGTGCTTTATATAGTATTGGTGCCTTGTTTCAAGTATTTGGTTAAAAAGCTTAGACCTTCTTCAAGCCCAGAGACAGAGCTCGATTCACATGATGAGTTCATGATCAAGGTCAGGGATGCCTAGCTTTTCGTGGTTATTTTACAGATCGAGATCAAGGGTTTTCTAGCTTTCAATGATTTTACACAAAAGGATTCAAAGCTTCAAACTTTCTAACTCCGTATCTTATGTATTGACATTGTTGCATTTGTACACTAAAGAGAGTACGTCATAGTATATATGATATTTTCCTCTTCAAATGCTTATCTATTCCATTTTTATGGATGAAGTGATTTAATGCAGCCCTTTCCAGGGTAAGAGATGATAAGAGGTGTAAAGATATGCTATTTGCATAGTTGGATATGTTAATGGTGGAATTCTGTGATATTTTAATATCTCAGATGCATCTTAGATGTAACTGTCAAAATAAATTAGGGTGTGTTTGACAACAAGTTAAAATTGGGCCAGGTTAACCTGACCCAATTTTAACTAGCTTATTGTTTGTCAAATTTCAGGTCAGAACTGGACCAATTTTTTTAGCCTAAATAGTGTCACTAAACCAGTTTTCTTTTGGACCCCAAACAGAAAACTGGTTTAGTACAAAACTGGGCCAGAACTGGTCCTGTCCCAGTTTTGTTCACTTTGCCAAACACACCCTTAGTTTCAATTTTTATCTTGAAGTTTAACTGATGACTTCACTGCACAAATGGTGATTATTGGTTGATTCATTATGAATGGATCTTTTCTCGTACAATTTGAATATAGTGCATCCTGGAAGATGAGAGATGGATTAGATAAGGCACTGCAAGTATATTCTTCAGGGCTTTTCCAGAGAAGCCACCTTTAAAATGAGCTCATTCTATAAAAATCAATTTTTATTTTTAATTTACACTTAAAACATCTTTAAAGTGTATTTTGTTGTAATCAACCACCGGGACCTATTTTTCAATTAAGTTTTTCGGTAATTGACCCTACCTAACCTCCATTAAGGACCATCTCTCTAATATGTTTGGTATTGGATACCTAAATTATTACAGTAAAACCGAAAAAACCTAACCTAAAAGTGGGCATATGTGGTTGATTGCAACAGAATTCACTTTAAAGATGGTTTATGTATAATTTTTTTAAAAAAGTGGTTCTATAGAATGACTATATTCTAAAGGTGGTTTCTAACCCCCAAAAAAGAAAAAACCTATTTTTAATAACTAGATATTATCTAATGTTTTCTATTTTCTATATTTGGATGTACTGAATGAATGATAATAAAACCTCAATTGTGATTAACTTTTACCAAGAGAACAATATTTCATTCAGGTTACAATAATCTAGATGAGACATGAAAGAAAACAAGAGTGAGAACGGCCTATACAAAAGGGGGTGATTAACGATTTATAGATGGTTAGAGGGTTAGTACATCGATTATAACTCTTCATTTATAATGTAGATTACTTCTACAAAGTTAGTTCTGATGGGATCCCTATTGAAAGAAGACAACAAGATAATGTCCTTAACTTCATATGTTGTAAAAGCTTTTTTTGATATTAGCCCCTTGAATCTTTCATATGTTAAAACTGGTCCCTCAAATCATTAAAATTTCTATTAGGGGCTCCCAATTTTTAGCTATTTTGAATTAGTCCCTCAAATCATTGAAACCGCGATTGCCTTTTTCAATTCTTAAGTCATTTTGAAATTAGTCCCTCATATCAATACTATAATTCGCAATTAAAGGGATTAATTTGAAACAACTTATGAGAGACGGAGGGCATGATAGAAAATTTGATATTTTGAAGGTCTAATTTCCCTCTAATTAGTTTTTGTCTGGTTTCACCCAATATTACTTTCATCTTTTTTGCAAAAGTAAGTGTAAGTTAAACCAAAAATTTAAGCAAATAACAGAATTTGGATACTCTTTTGTACCCTTCCAAATACTACCTCATACTACTATTTTGCCAATTTTAAACTAATAAATTTGCGAAAAAGAAATTCTATATTCGAAACTTCAGTGAGAATAAATGTTTTTCTGGTCTTATTCCTACTGCCCAAGGGGTAGAATAGGACAAGGAATAGGCACCGATTCATTAATTATCCCTTTTATTTGTTTGGTTTTTTTTTGGAATTAGTCATTTGAGATTAGTCGCTCAAGTTATTGAACTCGCAATTGGCTTTCTACACCCTTACGAGTTGTCTCAGAGTTACTCCCTCAAATAATTGAAATTGTTATAAGGTCCCCCATTTTTTAATAATTTATTACAAATCAATCCCTCAGACGTACAGTAGGAAAATGTAAGAAATTAAGGGGCTTAATAGCACTTTCAATGATTTAACGAACTAATATCGAAGCTAATATAGAACTAAACTATTTTTTTTCGTATAAATAATATCCCTAATTTTAGGCCTCAGATCCTAATCCTCTATATTCCTCATCGCTATCCTAACCCTAACCCTAGCCCAAACCCTCATTAATTAAAAATATTATATTGTAATTGTCCTATCTAATTACATCCAGCGATAAATGATAATAAAATGGTGTTGATTTGTTTTTTGTTGTCGAATTATTCTTTGTTTGGGAACCCTAGATTATCCTATTTTGATGATTTTTTGGTTATATTTACCATCTTAAATACAAGCTTAGTGATTCATGCCTGACCCTATTTTGATTTGAACCTTAGATGATCACTACAGACGAAACAAGTGTAGTTAGATGATGATGATGATGTGATGATCATAGGGATTGCGAAGACAAGAAATAAAAATGCTTATATTTTGCAGTTGACCTCCCTCTGAGTATGTATCCATGAATAGGATCAAGGGATTTGATGTTTTTTATAGTACAAATTTTCAATTTTGACCTATTTAGGAAATTTATTGTAAAAATCGACATGTTTTGAATTTAATTGTCAAATTCGACCAGGTTTCAGCCACCTGCTGAAACTGGGTCGAATTTGAAAAAAAACTTACAAAACTTCACGGGACTTCTTCAAGTCCCATGAAGTTTAAGTGGGTTGTTAAACATCACGGGACTTGAAGTCTCGTGAGTCGTGAAGTTTTGTTATGTACAAAACATCACGGGACTTCAAGTCCCGTGATGTTTCAGATGGAATTTCCAGAGAGCGACACAAAACATCACGGGACTTCACGAAACAAATTTTACGGGACTCCAAGTCCCGTGAAATTGTGAAAATGTTTAAACCAAGTTTACTGGGAGCTTAAACTCGTAAGTTTTTTTTTTTTCAAATTCGACCCAGTTTCAGCAAGGTGGCTGAAACTGGGACGAATTTGATAATTAAATTCAAAACGAGTCGATTTTTGTAATAAATTTTCTAAATAGGTTGAAATTAAAAATTTGTCTTTTTTTATATCCACAACCGTAAATTACACGTGCATGTATGTTTATGTTGTTTCGTTCTCGGACAGAGGCGTATTTTTTTCTGATCTTTTAACTTAAACAGTAGGCGGGTACAGTTTTCTAGTAATCATGTTATCCAGGCACAAATTGGCTATACCTTTTATAATGAAAATGAAGGATAAATAGGAAGTGGACCTCAGTTCTTCAAGCGGGTGTCCTAAGTACTAAGGCGCAATTTCTGATGAGCATGATATCCATGTATCCAATTTTATTGCCTATTATAAATAGACACTTCTCCTTGGTGAACGCTTCATTTTCTGCTTAATAAAAATTCTGCGATAGTTGTAGCATAAGAGCCATACTACATTTTTCCTTGTTCGGGGCGCTTGTGATGTGGCCTCACAATTTTGCTCTTTGGATTTAGCATATCATGGTATCTATTAATATTTCTTGCTGTTAAAAGTTAACTGCATTTAATGACGCTTAACTGTTTGGTTTTCTTTAAACAAAAATGGCTCAGGGACCCTAAATATTCATGGCGAGCTATAGTTAAAGCCTTCAACCATGAAACCAATTTTTCGTTAGAGCGCTACTACGGGGACCCAAAATATGGGACTAAGGGGTGGGACTAGTGATGTGTCCCTCCCTTATTGGATAATGAGTTGGCAATGAGTTGACATGGTCAACTCATTATCCAATAGAGAATGGACACATCACCTGTCCCATCCATTGGTCCCATATTTTGGGTTCTTGGAGGCTGGAGCATTAATCTTTTCGTTAAGCCAAGAAAACCTAGGGAACCGACTGAAGAACTTGAAGCGTAGCTTTTTCCTTTACCAGTGGATTGTTAGAAGGAACAGGTGGGTTTGGGATGATGACCGAGATTTCCCCAAACCTGAAACTCCATCAAAATGGGATGAAATAATTACGGTGTGTATATACATCATCACGTATTTTACATTACCTAGAATATATGCTTTTATCCCAAATGTTTGGGATCAGCTACATGAATCGTACTTCTCCATTCAGTTCTGTTGAGGACTATCTACTTCACTAAGTTAGTCATTATCACATCTTTCTCAACATCTTGCATCCTAGTTCTCTTAATTAAGTCTATCTTAACGATTCTCTCTCATTTTATCCCTAATAGGGTCGTCCTTAAGTTCCTTTTTTATCGCATCTCTTAGTGCATATTTATTTGTCTACCGTAACATTCTCAGACTGCTACATGTGTATTTTACGCGTCATTTCTGATCCATAAAGCTATGAGAAAACTGTCAAAAGCTTAAAAAAAAAGAGTTAAAATTTTGCAGATAAATCCCAAATATGCAAAATGCGAGCGCAAACCATTTCCAAGATACAGGGACATGGAATTTCTTTATGGTGAAAAAGGTATGATAGAATGGGTAACCTCTCCTAATCCCACCCAGCAAGAAACCGAGTGAAGGAATTACAGCATCAGCAGCAGAATCAGGAAAAACAGGCGGCGGTCGACCGGTCCGGTCGACTGCATCTGGAAGGAGGGCGGTCGACCGACCCGGTCGACCGACGTCTCTCTGGATTTTTGGGGTTTCTGCTGGATGGTGATCGGTCGACCGGGCCGGTCGACCGGAATTGATCGCGGTCGACCGGGGCGGTCGACCGACGAAGCGGATATCAGTTTTTCCAGGTTTTTGACCCGGTTCGTTTTGTAAGTTCTATATATACCTAAACCTGTTTGTTTATGGTAGAGGTTGAACGAATTTGAGCAGCCAAAGAGAGAGAATCATTGCATCAAATTGTGAGAGAGCTTTGAGAGATCTAGAGCTTTGTTTTAGGGTTTGGTCTGAGAGATTTGTAACCCTATTTGTATTCTCTTGATTTCTAGTAGAAAGAACTCCCCCCTCCTTGCCCCGTGGACGTAGGCAACTTGCCGAACCACGTAAATTGTGTGTTCTTGCTGTGATTGTGGTTTGCATATTGTTTGTGGTTTAGTTCGAGTTATTGTTCGTGTTGCCCTAGAAAGCTTCCGCCGCGCACAACAATTGGTATCAGAGCTA